CCAGACCGGGGCCTGCCACAGGGCCCCTTGCCCCACCCCCAGTGCCCCACCTCCTTTCAGCAGTGCTGGCTTCTGGTCCAACAGCTTTGCTTTCTTTCCCCTTCAAGCCCAGTTGGGAATAGGAGCTGGGAGGGGAGGGGAGCGGCTGACCTGCCTGTGCTCAGGACACAGCCGGGCAGGACACAAGGGAGCCACAGGCCTCAGCCCACCATTGGCACCAACAGGCAGCAAGGGAGTCAGTTTCCTGGCAGAGCCTCTCACTCACCATCTGCGTGGAGGAGGAGTTTCGGGGAAAGTGGTGCATTCGAGGAGTCGCTAGGTAATGCTGATAATGCTGAGGCATGGGCCGCACCTGGAACTGAGCGGGACTCAAGCCGGTGTCCACACTGAGATCCCTGCAGGGACACAGCCACGGTGAAGCACAGGTGATCCGGCCATCGGGTTGCAGAAGCGACCTCAGACATCAAGCCCGTCGAGTAGAATCAGAGTCACAAACTGCCAGAGCTGCAAGGGATTCAGTCTCGCCTAGCCCTGCCCCTCTCTTTATGGCGAAGGGAACTGAGACTCAGAGAAGGAAGGGCTCTGCTAGATCGAAGGAACCAGTATAGTCTGGGCCTCATACTACTTGAGACTAGTGCACCAAAGCCCGTCCCTGAGAGAAATGCTGAAAGAGGAATCCAAATAAGCCGGTCACGGATACAGAGCAAAGGAAAGACAGCTCCAGATAGAGTGGAGGGGGGCAGAGGTCATACTTTAACCACTTAGAGAAAATAATAGGAGAGGGACCTGCAGCTGTGAGGCAGGAAAGCTCTCCTGGACCACCACCCCTGCTCCTCACCATACAGGAGACTCATTTCACTTAAAAATCAATCAACTGAAAAGGATCCAGTGTTCCTTGGAAAATGGCTAAGTTCTGGTCTGAGACAGAAAAAAAAAAAATGTGCAACATGAGATTGAAACATCTTGTCATAACTAAAAGCAAGGAAGTTATCAAGGTCAAGTCAAAAGGATTCGGGAACCATCCTGGAGAGGTTCCCACTGGCAGAGTTTGGGCATTTTGTATCAATGAGTGTAACTGCAGTAGACTAAAATACATCAAATAGGTTCAAATCTGTGAGAATGAAATGATGCTAAAGAAAACTGGTCCCCTTTGAAGGATGCTAGGGAACCAATGCTTCATTTTGAAAACTAATAAATAAAGGGGAAGGGGCTTCCCTGGTGGCACAGCGGTTGAGAGTCCGCCTGCCAATGCATGGGACACGGGTTCGTGCCCCGGTCCAGGAAGATCCCACATGCCGCAGAGCGGCCGGGCCCGTGAGCCATGGCCGCTGAGCCTGTGCGTCCGGAGCCTTGTGCTCCGCAACGGGAGAGGCCACAACAGTGAGAGGCCCGCGTACCGCAAAAAATCAAATAAAATAAAAAATAAAGGGGAAGAACCAAACATTTATCCTGCCTTTCCTCTGTTAACTGTACTGCAGGGTAACCAAATCGTGGATGAAGGAAAATTGCTCTTTATGAAAGTTTTCTAGCTAGTCAATGAATAAGGAATGATTGAATTATTTGTCACATTCCTTCATCCCCTAAAGAAATAAAGGATCTGGGCAAAGATTATCAATTGCTACTAACATCACACAGGAGAGACAACCAGCTATCTGCTGGAAGAACACAGCACCTCGTATGAAGTGCTTTTTGCCAGAAAATGAAAGTTGAGCCTGAATCTGCTCAAGTCGCAACCTGGGTGCCAATGTATAGTGAGTTTAGCGTCTGAGGTGACACCTCCAGAGCATAACCAGCAAAATCCAGATGAGGGGAAACTACAGGGAAAAAAACCTGATTCAACAAATACTTTTTTTTTTTTTTTTTCGGTACGCGGGCCTCTCACCATTGCTGCCTCTCCCGTTGCGGAGCACAGGCTCCAGACGCGCAGGCTCAGCGGCCATGGCTCACGGGCCCAGCCGCTCCGCGGCACGTGGGATCTTCCCAGACCGGGGCACGAACCCGCATCCCCTGCATCGGCAGGCGGACTCTCAACCACTGCGTCACCAGGGAAGCCCTACCTTTTTTTTTAATATGAGGAACATTAAAGGAATTTCTGCTTCCAGCTGTGATGTCTATACAGTATGACATATATATATATTCCTACATTTCCTCTATATATTAGCCCACATCCCTGGAACAACTCCTGATGAGTCTGTCACTTGGGACATGAGGTTACTCTTGGAGCCAGTTGGAAGCAAACTTAGAAATTCTCTTAGTCCAGGCCCTCACTTTCGCAGGCCCAGCGGAGGCCTGAGGAAGGCCAGTGCCTTATCCATGGTCCCAGGCTATAGCCAGTTAGGGGCTCCAGGGTTTCCGATCGTCGCCTGGGCTCACCCCGTGACCTGCCTCGGGGAAAGGAGTTCCCCGGGGCACCTCACGTGGCAGAAACTCTGACTCTTAGCACCTGCCCAGCAGTCCCAGGGAATCCAACAGATTCAAAGTAGCAGAGAGATGTTCAGGGAATTCTACCAAAAGCAAAGTCCCAAGGAACTGGGAACAGAATCCCTCCAATTCTAGGAATGCTGAGTGGAGAAGCAAAAGACACCTCAGCCCTCAGATGAGAGAGGTGATCTGCCCAGGTTCGGCCTGAGTGGGCTCTGGGATCCCCTTTTATCATCTCATCAAAAATCCCTTCCCAAACCCAGGATCCTCGAACAGGGCTCCTTTGCTGAGGCCGAGCTGCTTGCAGGGGAAGGATGGTAGGGAGCTCTCACCCCTACCCGCCTCTCCCAGGTGCCCAGGCAGGGCTAGGGCTGCATGGCCGCGCGGGCTGCCGTCTGCACTGGGGGCAGAGTCAGAACTGTGAACCCAGGACCGTGTCAAAGGAACACGATGTCTCCGGACACTGGAGCAGGGCTCGAGGTCAGGGTCAAGTTATCGGGCCCAGGCCAGAAAGCGGGGATTGGGGAGGATTTATCCCCCAAGGCCTGCTGCTCCCACACACTCCCAGCCCAGGATGCTTAGTGCGAGCAGCTGCTTGGGTAGGGCTAGAATCTCCTAAACTAAGTGGGGGAGGGCCAGGCAGCCTCAGGCCTGGGGCTGGATGAGAGCTATCGGGGCATGCCAATTCCTGAAATGACTAGGGCAGAAGTCAATGGTTTCTGATGATTCTCTAAAGGAAAGGGGGGGCGGTGCGCAGACACACTCCCCACCTCCTGCCTCCCAGGGATCCTTGCAGAGGGTGAGCACAGCCCCTCCTACAACGCATTTCCTGTCATCTAATTTCCAGACCTCACATCTCCTGGCAGAAGAGGCCTCCCTGGAAAAGAGGGGTGGGATGAAAAGCCCCTCGTCACCACTTGGATGGCCCTTGCTGGAGCAGAGCTAATTACAGGGAGGAGAAAGGGCCTCCTACTTGGGAAGTGGGGACAGGACAGGCAGAAATGGCCCCGGATGGACCTGGTGCGGGACTCAGCCCAGGGGCCTCCCAGCGTCCCCTGCTGGGGCACAGGCCAGCCTCTCAGGGTCCCCGCCTCTCTGTTTCTCCAGGCAAGCAGGGGTCAGGAATGCAGAGCGACAGAAATGAGCGAGGAGCACAGGAGATTTGGCCAAATAAAGCAAGTCGTCGGCCTAACCCGCACCGCGCCTCCCGCATCTCAGCAGCACCTGCCTCATCGCATCTCCCATCCCCTCCCACTTGCCACGCTGGACCTTGTTCAGATCCCTCAGCCGTACACAAGGACCCCAGGTGCTCTGTGTGCTGAAGAGAATTAAACTGGATTGACTTGCCTGCTGAGGGACAGAATTTCATCCAAACAACAATTAAATCTTCCTAATTTGAATCTGCTAATTAGAAAAAGGCTGTGCTGAAGCTGGCCGTGGTGTAATCTATGTTTTAGGAGAGCGTTAAATCTAACAGAGAAAACCTGAGAACTACTAAGAGCTGGAGACAAGGAACCTGTTAAATCAACCATTTCCTGCACCTAGAAGCACCTTTAGCATCCAGTCAACCAGAACTACCCTTTTGAACCATTCCTGGGTGTCTGGTCCTAGGCTGCTTCCAAAGCAACCCTTGCCCACACCAGTTTGCCTGACTAAATGGCTGAGTAATGACACTAATGCACGTCTGTTTTTTAAATAGTCCATCCCTTTCCGTTGAGGTTCTTTGTTTGTTTTTACATTCTTTAAAACACACACACACGCACACACACTTTTTTACCTCAAAGTTGCAAAAAATTCCCTGATACTCTTCACTCAGATTCCCAAGTGTTAAAATTTTACTACCTTACTGCATTTCTGTTTCCTTCTCTCTCTCCACGTATACATCCATACATACAAACACACACACAGAGTTCTCCGTGGATTTTTTTCCCTAAACTACTTAAAAATAAGTTGAAGGCATGATGCTCTTTACCTCTAAATACTTTAGTGAACTACACATCTTTTTCAAGTGTTCAGGTGTTTAGACCCAGCCCTTGTTTAGGTCAGCCCTCCCCTGAGCTAGAACTTGTGAGTAGGGTGGGACCAAGTATCCAAAACAAAGCAATGATGCATCCCAGGGCAACAAAGGCCTCTGCCCTGAGTGCAGGAGACTGTGGGAAGACATCACAGGGGCCCGCTGCCTACAAAGACACCACAACCAAGCCCTCAACCTCTCCCCAACCAATCTCCCCAGTCCTTGCCTCCAACCCAGCTGGCTCTATCTCCATGAGCCTGTTTTGCCTGGCTGGCGTGTCCTGGCACTTCTCTCTGGACTCCTCAAGGCCCACCCCCTCCAGGAAGCCTTCCCTGACCATGCTAGCTCCTGAGATTCTCCTTTCCTCCCCCCTCCCAGGGACCACTGGTTCACAGCACTCCCTGAGCTTGGGAAATGCTTTGCATTCCAGTCCCCTCCTCCCCTGCAGTACCATGAACACTGAGCCCAAGGCTGGGCACATGATGGCACCTAGCCACATCTGAGCTCATTGCTGGAACCAGGACCTTGGGGGGCCATCTGGCCCTGAGGGTGGACAGGGCAAAAACTGGGGCTTGAAGACTAGGACTACGGCATCATTGAAGTGAAGGAAACAGGAGCTCCATGGATCAGACAAGACCCTCCTCCCTCCCTCCCCCAGGGACCCCACTCACCAGTCAGTGCCCTCAGCCAAATACCTGGGCTGAGGTGTCTGTAGTTGGTGGCCGAAGTCGAAGCTGGGGTGGAGGCGGTGAGGGTGGACAGACACTCGCTCCTGACTCCGCCTGCACCGGAAGGGAAGGAGGAATCCAGGCGTCAGGGCTGCCCAGGGCCAGCCCAGCTCCCAGGAGCGCTCAGCAGCCCCAGCCCACAGCCTACGTGTGGAGCAGTGGCCTTCAGCCCTCTTCCCAAACTCCAAGGAAGCTTCCTGGGCAGCAGCCAATAACTCAGAAATTCCCGCTGTCTCTGGGCTGCCCACTATACTGAGCCTCTCCCTGGGTGTGACTACTGCAGGTCAGCTGTCTCACCCGGTCTCTCTAGCTTCTCTGCTCCTTCTCCTACTACTCCCCTCTCTCCTTGGTGGGATGTATTCAGGACACACAGACAGGCCTCCTGTAGGCTCTCCCACCTCTGTGCACCCCGTCTGCTCCCACCATGCTCTTCTCCTCTCCTCCACCCTCTCCACACTCTTCCCAGCTTTCATGGCCCAGGGCAAAGCCACCTCCTCCAGGAAGGCTTCCCTGAACACTCCAGATCATGGTGACCTCTCCTTCCTCTGACCTCCTACAGCACTCACCTTCTGTCCCAGGCACCCCAACCTCTACAGACATGGACGCTTGGGGCCTTAAAGATCATCAAGTCCAGAGGTGCTCAAAGTGTGCTCCAAGCAACGCTTGCAGTCCCTGAGACCCCTTCATGGGGTTTACGAGGTCAAAATGATTTTCATAATAATACTATCATGTTATTTGCTTTTTCACTCTCATTCTCTCACAAGTGAACAGTGGAATTTTCTAGAAACTACATGACATGTGATTCTGCCACATTTGAGTGCAGAAGAAGACTTGAGAACACAGCCATCTTCTATTAAGCCAGACATGAAAAAGATTTGTAAATATGTATTTTTAAAAAGTCACTCTTTTCACTGATTTAGATGCAAAAAATACAGCTATTTTTTGAATATTTGAATTTGAATATTTTTTATTAGTGTTAACATATACCTTAGTTATTTTTATTTTTAAATGAATTAATAAGTATTTTTAAATTTCTGTTTTAATTTCTAATAGGGTAGGTATCAATAGTCATAACCCACATAAACAGAAGCTTGCTGTAATCCTCAGTAAGTTTTAAGAGTGTAAAAACAGTCCTGAGACAAAAATGTTTGAGAACCACTTAACTTGTACAGCTCCTTCTCTTAACAATTGAGGCTCAGAGAGGTGAAGTGACTTGCCCAGGATCCCACAGCTACTTCAGCCCCATTTGATTAGTATTGTCTCATTTTACTCTGCACTTGTTTCATAGCTGGTCTCTCCAACCAGACAGTGGGCTCTCTGAGGGCAGGGCTGACCCAGCCCTGTCCTGAGGTATCCCTTAGGGACCTCCAATGTTAGAATCTGGTGACCATGAAGTTTGAGGGGACGTGAGGGGTCCCCTAGTCTAGTCTCCCACAGCGTTGAAAAGTCCACTGTGAGCATCCTAGCCCACCACTTACCCAGCTCCTGGCCAGTTACCTGGGCGATATGACAGGGACACACACTAACAGAGGGAACACATATCAGGTTAAGGCAGCGCTCACTGCCTGAAACAAATGCCTCTAAGTGGAGCAAAAGCTGCCTCCTACACAGAGACTCATTTGGTGACTGACTGCTGGCCAAGCCTGGCAGGGTAGAAGCCAGGGGTCCAGCGCTGGGCCCTGACCCCGCCCCGCCCAGGTAGCACACACACCTGGGGTGCGAGAGGAGCCTGCGGTGCTGGGCTTCCAGGAGCTGCTGCTGCAGGAGGTATTGCTGGTGCAGGGCCTGAGGTAGGAAGGAGGGACCTGTGACGTCCTGGAACTGCAGGGTGGGCAGCGGGGTCAGCGACTGATGCAGGGCGCCGCTGTGCTGGTGGGCCGGGGCCATGTGGGCGCTGAGGCCCGGCTGCGACTGCACCGGGTGGGCCAGGGGGAAGTCGGGAGCGAGCTGCTGCGGCTGGGGGGGGCCCAGATGGAAGTGGCGGCAGGAGGTAGCGTGAGGATGCTGAGACCTTTGAAATGGGGCACCTGGAGAAGCAATGACAAAGACTCCATGAGGACCAGCCCTGCTCCCCTCTCCCACAGACCCCGTCTCCCCCTACCCCCAACCTGCAGCTGGTGAAGCTCAAGAACTTCATTAGAAAACAACAATGTCATCACTTTTGTATACAAATGATCATCGATCGGTGCTCCCTAGTAAAGGCTCTGTGCAGTATGTGTTGGAGGCGGGGTGGGGGGGGGGAGTATTTTGTTTAATAAATAGATAAGCATCCTCTTTTAAATTAACACACTTGTTAAAGGAATTTTAAGGTCCCTGGAGGCAGTTTGGCTTTCTTGAATTTCTCCCATGCAACCTTATTGACCCTACTACCTTTTTAAATAGATGCCTAGAGAAAATTTAGTCCAGCCTAGTCAAGCTCTGAACTCTACTGAAGACTTGGCTAGCCAGGACCCAGCCGACAGGGAGCCCAAATTTCCAAAGAGAAAACAACCAGAAGTTGTTTTCCATGCAATTTTAAGAAAAATAAAAAATCTAATCCCACAAAATTTTTAAGTAATAATGAAATAATTTGTTATAATATTATAATTTATTTAAAAGCAAAGATTTCCAGCAATAAGCTGGGCTCAATGCTGCATTTAATCTAGTCTTCACTACCTTCTAAATAACATTGACCTTGATGATGACAAAGCCTTACAAATTTTCCATAAGCAAAGATCCAGCTCTCAGCACTGGAGTCCTTTAATAAGGAAGGAAGTGAACTTGGCACCTCAGGAAGCTTTACAGAGGCTTCCTGCTAAACACGGCAGGTTCAACATATATCTGCTCCTTCCCAAACCCCACTGAAATGAGAGCAAAGGCATAAAGAGAAAATAAACAGACAAGGACAAGAGAGAACAGGAGAGGTGACATCAGCAGGCAACAAATGTCAACAGATTTTTGGAAGGTGGAAAGCAGATGGAGCAATTAGCAGAGCTGAGGAATTGGAAACCAAGCACCAGTCAACGAGGATAAGACAGATCTTGCCGCACGTGCTGGAAGGGTCAGGACAACTCCTGTGGTGGCAGGAGAGATGACGGCGCTGAGAACAGGGAGGCTGGTGGCCAGTCTCCATGAGGAGCAATTCTGCCCAGGGCATCTCCCCTCTCCCATGCAGGGCAGTGACTGCCGCTCCCTCGCCCTGGCATTTTGCAGGGAAAGTGAGCCAGAAAGGCTCCAGTAGAGGAGGACAGGGGTGCAGCACCGTGCTCAAACAGGGGGGGTTAAGCGAAAGTCTTATACATGGAATTTTGGAAACACCTGCTCCCTTCTGCCTCTTGGTTCAGAGGGTGCTGCTACTCAGGTGCCCCTCCCCTGCACACCCCACAGCCCCAGGTTGGAAACTGGCCCCAGAAATAGCTCTACAGTTCCTTCTGGTTGGGAGTACCCCGTAAAATGGTTGAGTCCCCAACTGGCGACTCCATAATAAAGCCCATAAGTTGAAAGGTCCATATCCATACACACACGCACAGATTCTGGAAGTTATTAGTGACCTACTCTTCAATATGAACAGACAGCCAAGGATGACCAGTCTCTTGAGGAAGATTACAAAGTAAAAGAGAGAAAGAATATACTAAATTTAAAAAAAAAAAAAAAAGAAAGAAAATAAACTCAGAGGAACAGAAGTAATGCAAGGATCCGAAAAAAATAAACTTCAAAACAGTTGAATTAATATCCTCAGAAAAATGATGTCGGGTCCATGAGACAACAACAAGCTCCTTTAAAAGGAGCAATGAAAAAACAAGAGAGCTCTTGGAAATTAAAAATATAAGAGGTGAAATCTGAAATTCAGCAGAAGGGTTGGAAGATAACGCTGGGGAGATTTCCCAGGAAGCAGAACAAGAAAACAAGGAGTTGAGGAAAAAGATGCCAGCATTGAAGGATGCAGTCAGAAGATTCCACAGTTTTCTAGTAAGAGAGAAAGAATGGAGAAAATTGTGGGAAAAAAATTATTTAAAGTATTTCCCAGAACTGATGGTCAGCTTCTAGATAGAAAAGGCCCTCTGAGGAGAAACACACACCAAGGCGGGGAGAAGAAACACACACCAAGGCATCTCCCTGGGAAATGTCCAAGCAGTGGGGCAGAGAGATGATTCTGACACCTTCCAGAGAGAAAGCAAACTGGTCCCATTCGAAGGGTCTGGGAGCAGGATAGCACCAGATTTTTCAAGAGCAACGTTGGAAGCTTGAAAACAGTAGAGCAACTGCTTTCAAGGCGCCGAAGGGGTGTCGGGGGAAGATTTTCAATCTAGAATTCTGTGCCCAGCCAAACTATTAATCAGGCGTGAGAGTAGAATAAGGCCATTTTCAACCATGGAGGGTCTCAAAATAATTAATCTTCTCACACCCTTTCTCAAAGAACTACTGATGCAAACCAAAAGAAAGGAGCAAAGAAATAGGGGGTGACACCTGGAAGAGGGGGCTTTCCCAAGCACATGGTTGTACAGGGCCTCCAGCAATCATTTCAAGGCAGGGAGGAGGGAGGGCACTCTGAGGGGTAGCTGGGGGTGGATCAAAAATATAACATTACCATCAGATTTGGCCACATGAAAATAGTATTTGAAGGAATTTTCCAATTTTGTAGAGCATTTGGTAAGAATTTGTAAAAATGTCACAGAAAGCAGGCAATTATTACCTCTAGGAAGAGAAAAAATTGTTCAGAAAGTGTAATTATTACATACTACGTGGTTCAGCTGTGAACAATATTTATATATTAATAACACAACAAGCATTAATAAACTATTTTAGAACAGAAAAGGACATTTCTTCCATAATGAGAAGAAAATAGACAATGTCAAAACTGAAAAATCAACAAAGAGCAGTAAAAGAATTTATTTAGAAATTTACTTAGTAATTTATGTATTTCAGGAAGTAAATACTCGAAGAGGAGTTGGAAATGTTGAGCTTCTAGTGGTGGGACTAGGGTGGGGAGGGCAAGGGGCAGACAACTGCTGTTTTACTAAATGTGTCTTATGTTGGAGCTATCTGACTTTGTAAATGACATGCAGGCCCTTGATAGATTTTTTAAAATCTTTTAAAAATAAATATTTGCAAAACAAAATGGAAATAAAATGCATTTCTGGCTCACTGCAAGTGAGCCAGAAAAGAGTGATCTAGAACCTTAATTCCCACCAGCATTCCAGATCAGTAGCGCCTCCTCTGCCTGGTGAATTCTGGCTTCCATGAGTCCAGGGGCTGTAGCCTGAGCAAGCAGCCTCCGGATGCCCCCTTCTCCCTCACCACCATCTGTCATACTGTAAAAAAAGAAGGAGAGGTCCACGTGACCAAAGGAGGGCGGGCAAGAAGGGAAAGGAGAGCTGTCGGAAGCTAACAAAGTGAAAGACAGGCATGACTGCAGAAGAAGGGAATGGGGTTTAACAAAAACGGATATCGTAAAGCCTCCAGTCCAGCACTGTCTATTAAATTACAATGTGCGCCACATACGTAATTGTAAATTTCTAGTAGCCACCTTTAAAGAAGTAAAAAGAGACAGGTGAATTTAATTTTAATAGTATATGTTACATAACTCAGTATATCCAAAATATTGTTTCAACATGTACTCGATATAAAAAAATTATTGAGATATTGTACATTGGCTTTTTTTTCATATTAAGTCTTCAAAATCCAGTGTACATCTGGCACTTACAACACACCTTAGTTCGGATAGCCACTTGTGGTTAGCGGCTTCCGTGTTGGACAATGCAGCTCCAAAAGAAAAAGACCAACTCCGTACACAGAGCAAAGAATCTTAGCCAAGTTTGCTAACTGGTCTGCCTTCAGAGGGGGAGTCCCCACTGCTTACTGGTGAGATGCACACCCCTTAGCCTGATCCTCAAGCTCCGTGCCCCTGGTCCCCACCGCCCAAGCCCTCCCCGACATCAGACATCAAATCTCCAGACACTCCACGCACATTCCCACCTCGGGGCCATTGCTCATGCTGGTTGCTGCCTTCCCTGTCTTTAAAGGTCATCTCTCAGCAACTCAAAAAATGCCTCCCCTGCCTGCCAGCCCCCAGGGACGCCTTCCTCCTCTGCATTCCTGTAGAAGGCCCTGTCACTACCACTCAGTTGGCACCTGGCAGTAGCTACCTTGCTTCTTCACACTCACCGCCCCCAGCTGGCTGAGCTTCCTGTCTTGCTGTTTCTGGATCCCCACGCACCTCCCTGGAGCTGGCACTCAGTAAATACCTGGTTGGCTGACTGCTGGAGGGACTGAGGGAAAAGCAGTGACTCGAGGCCACTGACGCACTGGGGCTGGTTGAAGGCCAACTGATTTGAAATCGAGAGGGAAAGAGAGGGGCAAGTAGGC